TTAGCCTTACGTCCATTGTAGGAAAAACAATGGAAAGGCTCATAATAGAGAGCCAGTGATGCTAGATAGGGAAGGGAGGCTGACAGCCACACAACACAGCTTCTGCAAATACAAGTCCTACCAGACAAACCATGAGGAATTCTATGACAAGGTTTTGCGATGGCTAGATGGAGCAGATGCCGTGGATGTGGTATACCTGGATTTCAGCAAGGCCTTTGACAAAGTGTCCCATAATATCCTGGTGGAGAAACTGAGGAGTTTTGGGATACATCAAAGCACTGTCCGGTGGATTAGGGCATGGTTGACTGACCGAAAGCAGAAGGTAACCATTAGCGGAGAATCATCGGGATGGCGGCCAGTGACAAGCAGGGTCCCCCATGGCTCTGTCCTGGGGCCGATCCTGTTTAATCTTTTCATTAACGACATGGAAGAAGGGGTGAACAGTCTGCTGATCCTATTTGCAGATGACACTAAAACGGAAGCAGTGGCCACAGCAGCGTTCAATGTGGATAAGTGCAAGTTCTTGCACTTGGGGTATAGGAATAGCTGTCATAAGTACAGGTTAGGTGATAAGTGGCTGGAGAGCAGCACTTGTGAAAGGAACCTCGGGGTACTGGTTGACTGCAGGTTAAACATAAGTCAGCAGTGTGATGCGGTGGTCAAGAGGGCGAAGGCCACCCTTGGTTGCATAGCCAGAAGTGTGGCTTCTAGATCAAGAGAGGTATTACTACCACTCTACTTGACTCTAGTGCGCCCGCAACTGGAGTACTGTGCACCGCAACTGGAGTATTGTGTTCAGTTTTGGGACCCTCATTACAGAAAGGATATAGTCAGGTTAGAGTCAGTGCAGCGTAGGGCCACAAGGGTGGTGGCCGGTTTGCAGGGGATGCCGTATGAGGCAAGACTGAGGGAACTGGGTCTCTTCAGCCTGGAGAAGAGGAGACTAAGACAGGATCTGTTGGCAACATACAGGTATGTGAGGGGATGTCACATGGAGATGGGTAGAGACCTGTTCTCCCCTGCAGAGGAAGGCAGGACGCACTCCAATGGAGCAAAGCTCAGGGAGCCGAGGTTCCATTTGGATGCCAGGAAGCACTTCTTGACAATCAGGACTCCGAGGGTGTGGAATGGGCTTCCCCGGGAGGTGGTTGAGGCCCCATCGGTGCGGGTGTTCAAGGATAGGCTGGACATCCACATGGTCAGACTAGATGGCCCGGGAGGCTCCTTCCGACTCCCTCTGTTTTCGATGTTTCTATGACCTTTGGAAGGAGAAAGACATGGGGAATACATCCCTGTTTTTTCTCCTACACATCCCAGCAGCTTTTGGTACCTTCAAGCATGGTATCTTTCTGGAAAGTCTGCCAGGTTGCGAGGGGGAGGTACCACTTTGTGGT